AGCCCATCTATCCTCCAATAGCTGTTTATATCTTACCCTAACTGCCTCCTCTTTTAGTTTTATAAACCTTTACCTCTCTCTTCCCTGATGCTTCTATTCTCCTTGTATCCCATCTACCTTTTACTCTCAGTGTGCTACAAACTAGAAAGTGATCTGATATATCGGGTGGCCCCTCTATAAACATGTACATCCTGAAGTCTACTCAACATTTCTTTTATCTACCAATACATAATCCAACAAACACTGTCATTTCGCCCTACATCATATCGTGTATACTTATTTATCCTCTTTTTCTTAAAATATGTATTACAAAACCCTAAACCCCTTTCTATACAAATTTTCAATCAAAGGGCTCCCATTATCATTTACACCTGGCACCCCAAACTTCCCTACCACACCCTCTCTAAAAGTTTCTCCTACTTTAGCATTCAAGTCCCCTACCACAATTACTCTCTCACTTGGTTCAAAGGCTCCTATACATTCACTTACATCTCCCAAAATCTCTCTCTCTCCTCTGCATTCCTCTCTTCTCCAGGTGCATACACGTTATTATGACCACTTCTCGCAATCCAACCTTTACTTTAATCCACATAATTCTTGAATTTACACATTCATATTCTCTTTTTCCTTCCATAACTGATCATTTAACATTACTGCTACCCCTTCCCTTTTGCTCTAACTCTCTCAATACTCCAGATTTAATCCCATTTATTTTCCCCCCACTGAAACTCTCCTACCCCCTTCAGCTTTGTTTCGCTTAGGGCCAGGACATCCAACTTCTTTCATTCATAACATCAGCAATCATCTGTTTCTTGTCATCCGCACTACATCCAGCACATTTAAGCAACCCAGTTTTATAAAGTTTTTCTATCTTCTCTTTTTTAGTAATTGTATACGGGAGAAGGGGTTACTAGCCCATTGCTCCCGGCATTTAGTCGGCCTCATACGACACGCATGGCTTACGGAGGAAAGATTCTTTTCCACTTCCCCATGGACAAAAAAAGAAATAAAAAGAACAAGAGCTATTTAGAAAAAGGAGAAAAACCTAGATGTATGTATATATATATATATGCATGTGCGTGTCTATGAAGTGTGACCAAAGTGTAAGTAGGAGTAGCAAGATATCCCTGTTATCTTAGCGTGTTTATGAGACAGAAAAAGAAACCAGCAATCCTACCATCATGCAAAACAGTTACAGGTTTTTGTTTCACAGTCATCTGGCAGGACGGTAGTACTTCCCTGGGTGGTTGCTGTCTACCAACCTACTACCTATAAACCTACTTACCTATGTCCTTTCTAAATCTAAATTTATCCAACTTAAATCCATTGTTCCTGGTTCTTACCTGGTTCGACACCCTCAGTACTTTATTAATGTCTCCCTTGTTTATGCCCGTCATCCACTTATACACTTCAATGATATCTCCCCTCATTCTACGCCTCTCCAGAGAGTGGAGATTTAAGGCTTTAAGTCTATCTTCATACGGGAGGTTCCTTACACAGTAAATCATTTTAGTCATTCTTCTCTGTATGTTCTCTAATGAGTCTATGTCCATCCTGTAGTAAGGGGACCAAAACTGAGCAGTAAAAGGACACAAGTGCAACTAATGTGACATTTATTGTAGCAACGTTTCGCTCTCCAGGAGCTTTATCAAGCCATTACAAACAATACATGGACACAGAGGGTATATAAAGGCTCAGAGTGAGGTGAATACTAGTGAGGTACCATTTCGATGTTCACTAGTGGTAGTAGTAGTAGTAGTAGTGGTAGTGACAAAAGCAATTAATTCGTACATGAGTAAAAGGATATAAAAGCTATTACTTGGGTAACATAAAAATAGGTTGGACAAAATATAAACGGAATGAGGCAGGTTTTTCAGTGTTCACTCTCTGTGCTTTGTGTAGTATAACAGGAGAGACTATGTGATGGCAGGGTTTACATAGTCTCTCCTGTTATACTACACAAAGCACAGAGAGTGAACACTGAAACAACCTGCCTCATTCCAGTTTATATTTGTCCAACCTATTTTTATGTTACCCAAGTAATAGCTTTTATATCCTTTTACTCATTTTACGAATTAATTGCTTTTGTCACTACCACTACTACTACTACTACTACCACTAGTGAACATCGAAATGGTACCTCACTAGTTTCACCTCACTCTGAGCCTTTATATACCCTCTGTGTCCATGTATTGTTTGTAATGGCTTGATAAAGCTCCTGGAGAGCGAAACGTTGCTACAATAAATGTCACATTAGTTGCACTTGTGTCCTTTTACTTTACATATTGTCGGTAATTCTACCAACTTTATTACAAAACTGAGCAGCATAATCTAAATGAGGCCTCACTAGTGATGTATAGAGCTGTAAAATAACTTTTGGACTTCTGTTACTTATACTTCTTGAGATAAATCCAAGTAGATAAAAGGGTTGGTGTAAACAAGGACGACGATCAAATAATGGATCTCTACTGTCCGTCACCATCCTGTATGTAGAAGGATGATGAAGGCCATGAAAGCGGACAAAATATCGAAGGCAATAGGAATCACGCAGATCGTTCGAAGATGGAACATTCAACATTCACTTCTCCATATAGGATCTCGATAAAACATAAGAACATAAGAACGAAGGAACACTGCAATAGGCCTGTTGGCCCATACTGGGCGGGTCTTTCACAAATCCAACTCATTAACAGAATATTTGCCTAACCCACTATAGTTCTACCCTAACAATATGCTCTGATAAATCCACTAACTCACATGCAAGTCCCACTCAAATCCAACCCCTTTCGCTCATGTATTTATCCAACCTAAATTTAAAACTCCCCAAGGTTTTAGCTTCAATAACCCTACTAGGCAGACTGTTCCACTCATCAACTACCCTATTTCCAAACCAATACTTTCCTATATACTTTTTAAATCTAAACTTATCTAATTTGAACCCATTATTGCGGGTTCTCTCTTGGAGGGATATCCTCAAAACCTTATTTATATCCCCTTTATTAATACCCATCTTCCACTTATACTCTTCGATCAAGTCTCCCTTCATTCTTCGTCTTACAAGTGAATGTAGTTTAAGGGTCTTCAATCTTTCTTCATAAGGAAGATTTCTAATGCTATGAATTGATTTTGTCATTCGTCGCTAAATGTTTTCTAACGAATTAATATCCATTCTGTAATATGGAGACCAGAACTGAGCTGCGTAATCTAGGTGAGGCTTTATTAATGATGTGTAAACCTGTAGTATAACCATGATGTTCTACACAGGCTTAATACAGGTTCAATACAGGTTCTATACAGGTTCAGCACAGGTTCTGTACAAGCTCAGCGCAGTTTCTACACAAGTTCAGCATAGGTTCTACACAGGTTCAACACAGGTTCTACACGGGTTCAACGTTACACAACAATTAGCAACTTTGCAAAAGTGGCCACAACTTCATTAACCTAAAGATTCATTTTGAATTTTAAAACAATTATTTTTGGGCCCCATTTTTGAGAAGTAGCGCCAGTGGGACCCCCAACTTAATCAAGCATGGCTTAGTTGGGATGAAAAAAAACTGGGGTGGAAATTTTAAAATGGCCACGAACCCAGACAAATATTTTGACCCCAGTGCTGAAACCCATAAGGGGGTTTTTATATGGAAAAAAAAATTTAACTTAAATCTCAAAATAAAAAAAGGGACCATGAGAGATATGATCTGACACAGAATACTCAAGACAGCGTGTTTTAACGGAACATATGTTTAATTGCAGTAAAAGGGATCCACGGGACAAATATCTGCAAAACAAAAAACTAAACGAAGGTAGTAAATTAAAGGAAAACACAATACACAGCTTTAAGAGCAGGTATGCCGGACCCTGGGGCCCATCATATATTAGAAAAGCCTTCGAAAATAAAGTAATGGTGTACCCATGCTTGACTAAACCTCTGCCACAAGCAATTGCTTGCAATGTCAAAAACATTTACTGTGGGAAGCTAAAACCTGTCGGGGGAAAAAAGTAAAAACGGTTTGATCAAAGGAATGCAACCCAGTTCCTTGGAGGGAGAACCCATGTCAGCATCAATTACAAACTCTATAAATCATTTTTTCTGGCAAAAAATTTAACTAAAAATAAAAAATTTAGAAAGGGGAAAAAAATTAAAGGTGAACGATCCCACCGAAAAACCCCGAAATAAACATCGATTCTCTAAAAAAAAAGGGAAATTTTTAAAGGGAGTTAAGGGTTTTCTTGAAATTTTTTTTAAAAACCCGACTTTCAGAAAAAATTTTCGCGTTTTGTGTAGGTGAGGTTTTGGGGAAAAAAGTTAATACCTTCGTTATAACCAGGTTTTTCTACACTACCATACTATACTCCACTACTACTACTACCATATATTGTGCTACACTACTACTATAAACCCACTCTACTACTACTACTGTATATGTACTACTACTATAACTACATATACTGCTATACTACTACGCTACTACTACTATAACTACTATGCTATACTATACTGCTATTTCTAAACACTATACTACTTATATACTACTCTCTGTCTCTACTATGCTACTCTATGCACTACTACTACTGAAATACTCTACTACTTGCTACTACTCTATACTATATGCTATACTACTACTGCTACTACTCTGCTACTCTACTACTGCTACTACTTACTACATACTATGCACTACTTTCTACTTTTTACTACTACTGCTACTACTACACTACTTTACTACTACACTGCTATACTACTAAACTCTACTGCTACTATACTATGCTGCTACTATACTTGAAATACTAACACGCTACACTGCTACTACTATACTACTACCCCACTACTACATATTAATAATATAAAATTTATTATATACTTTATTCTTACAGTAAAATTTATTATAATAAGAAGAATATAATTATAAAATATTTTTATAATTACAATAATAATATTAATATTAACAATAATATAAAGTTGCAAGAGTGTGAGTTAGTAGGTGAGAGCAGTGGTTTATACTCACAATAAACCTGGAGGAGCCACTCGTCTATGAGAGGCAGTGTAGTGAGTGCCGGGGAGTGAGCCAGACACGACAACACATCACCACCATCACCAACTTCAGGTGTAAACTTCAGCTCACTCGTTGTTACGTTACCCTCATCACTCAGCTGACACAAAAGTATAAACATACTGAAGTTTCATTACCATTTATATTGTACATAATATGCTAAACTTACTGAATAGGCCAAGTTCCCCTTAAAATTAATTTTTCCAAAAATTTCCTTTACAGATTGATAGCTAATATTTTTTTTTATCCACAATGATATAAAGATTTTTACTTTTAGACTAAAACTGACTTAGAAACCTCACCTAACGTCACTTAAAGTAGAATTTTTTTTTTAGCAAAATTCAGCACAGGTCAGTTTCAGTTTGTTTAATATTACTTAAAATCAATGATAGATATTTTGCTCGCTATGTTTACATCGATTCCCGATCATGATCAAAACAAATTTTCTGTTAATTTGGCAGAATGGGCCAAACTGGTCGATTCGGCACCATATATATATATAAAATATATATATATATATATATATGTGTCGTGCCGAATAGGCAGAACTTGCGATCTTGGCTTAAATAGCAACGCTCATCTTGCCATATAGGACAAGTGAAAATTTGTGTATGGAATAATCTCGCCAAAATCATTCTTAACCTAACGAAAAAAATATATTTCACTGTGTTTGTTTAGTATTAAATTATTATAAACAAATCTAAAATATATTTAGTTGGGTTAGGCTAAATTGCGCTTGTTATAATAAGGTTAGGTAAGTTTTCTAAGTTCCTTTTGGTACAAAATTATAAATTTTTACATAAACATTAATGAAAAAAATATATCTTTAAACGTATAAGAGAAAATTTTAGAAAGGACTTAATTTTAAATGAGTTCTTGCTAATTGACCAGTTTTACATATTCGGCACGACATATATATATATCTCCGCTCATGGAGTAATGAGCGGGTTATTTGTATTGACGGTTTTCGACTGGACTAGTTAATGGTCCGAGTCTGACTGAGACGTCGCTGTAAGTTTCGCTCTCCTATGTACAGGTTATTTGTGTACATCTCACGTAAATGTCAGACTTAGTTTTATAGCTACCAACTTGCGTTGCTTTAAAAATAAGTTGATTTTGGGAAAGATCTGCCAAGAATATCCTAGAAGTATTCCTGCAGCGATCCTCTCTCCTTTTATCATCTTATAGAACAGGAACAAATGGTTGATGTGGCCTATACAATACCTTTTCAGTTATGTGACAGTCACCTACTACTACCACCTGCCACCACTACCACCATCACCTGCCACCACTACCACCATCACCTGCCACCACTACCACCATCACTTGCCACCACTACCACCATCACTTGCCACCACTACCACCATCACTTGCCACCACTACTACCATCACCTGCCACCACTACCACCTGCCACCACTACCACCATCACTTGCCACCACTACCACCATCACTTGCCACCACCACAACCATCAGCTAGCATCCACACCACTGGCGAAAATTTTATGCCAATTAGTCGAGTCATTTTTCAGTTATGTCAAGCATTCCAACGTTTTCGAGTGCTTTTTTTAATTCTTATAATATATTGAGGAATTTGCCAGGACACAAACAGTAGAGGAAACTTCGCTAGCGGTAACAAACATTTTCCATTAAGTTCGGAAGCCCATCAGAAGAGCTCATCTGGCATTTACTTAAAGTGATTTAACGTTAATGAAAAAAATCAGTGTTTTGGAAGAATTTAGCCCTAGTTACCGTACATAAAAGTTGAAATTTTGGAGCTCATCGGCTGTGAATTATGAACAAAATAAAAACAATGAGTTGGAGGAAGAAAAATAAATTCAGGCAAGTTTTTGAAAGTTTTCATTCGAGCATAACTTATAATAATTACAACTTTCCTTAAAATAATTATATAATTTTTCTTGATTCCTTGACTCAGTTGCTTTTAAATAACTCCTTGAAGTTGAATACTTACTCTGATGACATTATAATAATAATATTCATACTGTAATCAAAGATAACGAGCCCACAGGGCAGTAGCTTCCTACTGATTATGTTTACTGTGATGACACTTATGGTTTCAGTTAGTGGTGAAGCACTTAGAGTACATGGATTTAGAATTAACCAAGAGTAAGAGGATCCACGACTGTAAGGATGACAGAGGAGGGTGAGGATCCACCCTTATCGTGGTGAGTGATGAGTTTGAGAATATTGTTGGAGTACTTAAATTGTGTGAGTAAAGGTGAGTAACTCACCTTATCGCTATGAGTGGTGAGTCTTGTGTTGCCCAGACGCCACGTAATGGTTGCAGGAGGCCTGGAGCCAGAAGCCTGACACACAACAATATACTGTCTGCCGACGCTTACGGGATCTCGACTCGTCAACAAACGAACCCACAACGGTGGAACTGTTGACAATAAGCAGACACCGTTAGTGGCAAGATGTAACCTTCACTGTTGTCTGTTACTGGCTTCCAGGATCATCTTCCTCGAAGAAGCGAGTCACATTAATTAATACTTCTACTGTACACTGGAAAATAAAAGAAATATAAGTAGTTTTAAGAAATATTGTCACCTAGGTTCGTAGTCGCTCTGGGACAGCAGGTGTTTGGTTGACGCAACATGTAAACAACCATAGGATCGACGAGTCACGCTGTATAAAGTGTCACATCACGAAATGCATACAACATTTCTAAATAACTTTGCCCCCTCTACAATACATCCCTAAATATTAGCATAAATCTACAATAATATAGAACAACAGCTGATTGGATAATTGTCAAGACAAGAGTCATGATGTAGTGAGAGATGTTAGACGTCGAGAGTTTTGCTGTCGTGAAGTGACGGGTGTTTGGTGGCAGCAAGACGTAAGAGATATCACATCCCTTCAACTATGTTAACTAAGAAGAAATTGATGATGAGTGGAAGGAACACGTAACATTACATGGGGAAGACACTAAGACAACGTCTTAGTGTCCACACTGAGGCTATTTACTGAGGACTACCTTCCTCTATTTTGACTAAGGACTATGTACTACTATCAAGTTGTCTGAAGCCAGGATATTACATATGGATAAGTACATATATTAAGTTAATATATGTAGCATAAGTTAATAAATGTAGCATAAGTTAATATATGTAACGTAAGGTTAATGTAAGTTAATATATGTACTGATAAATTAATATATGTTAATTTATGTACTCTTCTTGCCGCTTTTGCGGGAAGAAAAGTACATATAAATCTTAATGACTGATTCTGGCAGATCAGATCAGCCGTATCACAGATCAGCCGTATCACAGAGCAGCCGTATCACAGAGCAGCCGTATCACAGAGCAGCCGTATCACAGAGCAGCCGTATCACAGAGCAGCCGTATCACAGATTAGCCATATCACAGAACAGCCGTATCACAGATCAGCCGTATCACAGATTAGCCGTATCACAGATTAGCCGTATCACAGATTAGCTGTATCACAGAACAGCCATATCACAGATTAGCCATATCACAGAACAGCCGTATCACAGATCAGCCATATCACAGATTAGCCGTATCACAGATCAGCCATATCACAGATCAGCCGTATCACAGATCAGCCGTATCACAGATCAGCCGTATCACAGGCATCGTTTGGGATTTTTTTTTAATTTGCTAAATTCAATATAGCTGTAATAAAACCAAGCTTTTTTTCCTCAGAATATTATTTAATAAATATATAATTTTTTGTTAAAAAAACAGTAATATTATTGTTAATTCTTAACTGAACCTTAAAAACGAAACCGTGTTGAGGTTTATTGTTTATAATTAAAAAAAAAAGTTGACCAGCAAAAAAAAAAAAAAAAAAAAGTGGGTTTTTCACAATAGGTGAACAATGTTTCAAGATAACATTATAATAATTTGTATATTAGTGGCACTAATCAAAACAAGAAACCTATCAGAAGATTAAAAAAGAAAATCCTGATAACATGATGAATTATTACCATTCATTAGACACATGTGCAACACTTGGGTATCTTTAATGAGGAAACGTTTCACCACACAGTGGCTTCATCAGTCCATACAAAGGAGAATGGTGAAGAACAGGAGTAGTTTGAGGTAATCAGTCCCTCAGCCTTGAGTCGATGTGATCAGTCCATCAATCTTGAAAAAAATACAGCATATGTGCGAAGAAGTGGCTTATATACCTGTATTAAGATCTTGGGATCTTAATACAGGGTATTCTTTATTTTCCTAACCCTTTGGCACGACCTGCTTCCACATTGGACAACTGTGGTACGACCTACGACTGCTGCACCTCTTCTGCACCACAGTATATAAGCCACTTCTTCGCACATATACTGTATTCTTTTCAAATTTGATGGACTGATCACATCGTCTCAAGGCTGAGGGACTGATTACCTCAAACTACTCCTGTTCTTCACCATTCTCCTTTGTATGGACTGATGAAGCCACTGTGTGGCGAAACGTTTCCTCAAAATTACCCAAGTGTTGCAAATGTGTCTTAATTTATCAACTTGTCGGTTCTGTGTACTATTCATCTACGTTACCATTCATGTTTAATTATGTATCTATATTTCATACATAAAATAATTGATTCATATTTTTTTTTGGGGGGGACAAGCTGTGGAAATTAATATTGAAATAAATATTTTGTTGCCAGAAGTCATACTGCAGCTTTATACATCATTAGTAAGGCCTCACCTTGATTATGCAGCTCAGTTCTGGTCTCCGTATTACAAAATGGACATAAATTCGTTAGAAAACATTCAGCGTAGGATGACTAAATTAATACATAGCATCAGAAATCTTCCTTATGAAGAAAGATTGAAGACTCTTAAGTTACATTCACTTGTTAGACGAAGAATGAGAGGAGACCTGATCGAAGTGTATAAGTGGAAGATAGGTATTAATAAAGGGGATATTAATAAGGTCTTGAGGATGTCTCTCCAAGAGAGAACGCGCAGTAATGGATTTAAATTAGATAAGTTTAGATTTAGAAAGGACATCGGAAAGTATTGGTTTGGAAATAGGGTAGTTGATGAGTGGAACAGTCTACCTAGTTGGGTTATTGAGGCTGGGACTTTGGGTAGTTTCAAATCTAGGTTGGATAAGTACATGAGTGGGATGGGTTGGATTTGAGTGGGACTTTCACATCAGAGCTTATTCTTGGGTGGCATTGAAAATTGGGTAGGGCAAATGTTTTGTTAGTGGGATGAATTGTAAAGGACCTGCCTAGTATGGGCCAGCAGGCCTCCTGCAGTGTTCCTCCTTTCTTATGTTCTTATGTTCTTATGTTCTTATGTTTGAAGTCTTACAACGTCCAACTAAAACAAATACTCAAACTAACAAAAGTATGATCCTTGTATAATTTGTATGAACATGTCTGCTGTACAGAACTTCTGTTATACAGAGCCTCTGCTCTACAGAACTGTCTGCCATACAGAGTCGTCTGCTATACAGAGTCATCTGCCTCCAGCACTTAATGTGGCAGATGAGTTGTATAAAATAATAACGAAATGAAGTTAATTTTTCGTAATTTAAATTATCAACTGAGAACTCGTATTGCTGTGACTCGTCCTTCAAAGTCTATGAGAAATGTGTTGAGTGCAAGTAATCAGTGGAACATCATTTTTTGTTGAGTGAAGGAAGTCAGTGACATCCTCAGATTCACCAACTGCAACAAATTTCATCAGAGGATTATTGAAGTCAACGTTCCAATGACAGCCACAAAATATCGAGCAAGAGAATCAGGCAGAGGAGCAACTGCATTTGTTAGTAAAAATGCCGTTGAAATGCACTGAATCATTTTCAATACTTGACGTGATTCAGGAGGAAAAAACATGTGCAACATCTGAGTATCTTTTTTTCTGTAAACGTTTCACCATCCAGTGGCTTTATCAGTACAATACAAAGATATAATGTGAATGTAGAACTATGCACAAAAGATGAGGTAATAAGTTCCTCAGCTTTAGAAGTAGTCTTGGGGAATCTGAAGATTCTTCAAGACTGCGGTGTTCATTACCAACTCTAAGGCTTAGGGACTAACTACCTCGTTTTTTGTATATAGTGTTTCTTCACATTTGTCTACAAATAAAGATGCCCTGATGTTGCATATGTATCTAATTCTTCATCTTGTCGGTATTATATACCATTTATTTACAACTTGATTTAGGAGAGAGACTTGGTGGTAAGTGCAGAGGAACAGCCATGTTGTCACTCTCAGCAGTCCAACTATAAAGTGTTACATCTACTGCAGCGTCTCAGCTTCCATAATGGAAGGTCATGGTACTGTTTTGAAGTGAGCTATGAAAACAAGTTTTATAATTTTTTTAAAAGAAGATGGTAGAGTTCAGAGATCTAAGAGGTGATGCCAGTTTATTGTCACTTGTTTTTTTTTTAAATCAGTTCTTCATATTAGACCATTGACGTATCCCTAACAGCTTCAAAGTAATTGCAGACTTAATCAAATCAAGTACCTTTAGCAGTAACATATTATATTGGTCTGTTAATTGACCATGTAATCTAAGGAAAGACCAACCTTAATTAGGTCGTGAGGAAAAAAGCTTGTAAATTCGATTATTAAAGGTATATCAGATTAATAGCAGCCTGCTGCAAAGATTCGCCGCCAGTCCTGCCATCTATTGGGCTGATTCAAAGATACAGATACCTCACGGTCTGGGGTGGTTGGTTTTCAGTACTGGTAGTATTATTCTTACCTGGGTTTTCTCTGGAGTTAAGGTAGTCACTTCACCTCCGCTTCTCTACCGATCAGCTAATATAATCTACCCGAACATTATTCTTAGGGTTTTTGTGGTAAAATAATACCACCCTTGCCTTTGTATTATATGTATGTAACTATATGGTAACCAGTTTTTTTTATATACATAGCCAGCTTTCGCTGCTGGCGTGGTCGACCTACAGCAGACGCTGTCTTAAAACTGGGAGCAGGATCCATAAAGACTGGATATATTGAGTGGGAAGTCGCCGATACATTCTCTCTCCCGAGCCTTGAAAGTTGTACGACTGCCAAGCACGAACAGAAGTCCTTGTTAACATCCAGCAAGAAAAACAGAATCTTCATGAACGTCTCTGTCGACCTTAGGAAATATACTGGGACGAAGGGTAGATTATTGGTAACTATTTTTTTATCTTCATGCTTTCAAAAACCAACATGACTCACGAAATTGTAATAATACTTGAGGTAGAGCTCGACACAGCCACGTTGGTGTGGAATTCATCTGTAAAAACTGCATTCGTGGTCACATTGGTGGTCCATGCTAACTTCCCTATTGTGTATAGAAGTATACTTTGTTGGATGAATCTTATTAGAAGCAGCTGGTCCAGTGGTTAACGCACTGGCCTGTGAGCTTTTGGATTCGCTTCCCATGGGTTCAGACCCTACCCGTTTCGTGGTTTAAAACCAGCATAATCTCTGAAAACAACTAAGTAATAAGAATAATACTTAGTTGTTTATAAAGAAACAAATATCTTTGTTGGTTGTTTTGACTTTAGCAATAAGTGTTATATGTACTCCACTTTCTGCCTAAATGCCAAAAATCCAGTTTCACTGCCGGACTTGAAGCTGGTAGCGCATTAATGACGGTACGAGCTTAAGGGAACTTCTCTGTATCCTCTCCTAGCTTCATTTTTTGTGTAATTTAGAGGTCAAAACTGTACTACTTTTGGTGCTCTTAGAGAGTCTAAGTACTTAGAGAAATATTCTTGTGTTCTTAGAGAGAGAGACTTTGCCACTCCTCTGCGATTGCCAAAACCATCTTCTCATTGGCTGGAACCTGGGTACTGATTGAACGACGGGGCCCCATCATCAACCCTAGTACCTGGTTCGCTGGTTGGTGAAGATAGCCTTTCAATGAGGGTGTGTACATGCGCCGAATAAAGGTTACGTACTCTTTGCATGCCACAGAAATCCTTTCATTAAATGTTATGTTCACAGCGGAATGAGCAAAAAATAGATGTTAAGGGGTCTTAGGATGGGTTGAAAGAACAAGTGAGATATGTTAGAGCATGACTGCTGTGCTAGAGCATGACTGCTGTGTTAGAGCATGACTGCTGTGTTAGAGCATGACTGCTGTGTTAGGGCATGACTGCTGTGTTAGAGCATGACTGCTGTGTTAGAGCATGACTGCTGTGTTAGAGCATGACTTCTGTGTTAGAGCATGACTGCTGTTAGAGCATGACTGCTGTGTTAGAGCATGACTGCTATGTTAGAGCATGACTGCTGTGTTAGAGCATGACTGCTGTGTTAGAGCATGACTGCTATGTTAGAGCATGACTGCTATGTTAGAGCATTACTGCTGTGTTAGAGCATGACTGCTGTGTTAGAGCATGACTGCTGTTAGAGCATGACTGCTGTGTTAGAGCATGACTGCTATGTTAGAGCATGACTGCTGTGTTTTCCAGCTAACTAATGCTTCTCCTGCCACTGCTAGTGATGGACGTATACATGTGTACACACTCGGGAAGTTGTGCTGGAACTGAAGATTATCATAATATATTGAGGAGCGTCAGTGAGGGAGGCGGAGCAAGTGACAGGTGACATGTGGAGAACTAATATCATGCTAACATGAATTAAAGGTTATATTTGTGCACGACAATGTGTATTACTGTGTTCATGCCACTGTGTGGCACTGTGTTTACGGCACTGTCGCTGTCTTCTCGGCAGTGTTTGTCACTGTGTTCACAGCACGGTTACTGTAAAGTAAATCATGGAACGGGTGGGGTTTTGAACCCCTGGCAAGCGAGTCTTAAAGCTCATAGGCCAGTGCGTTAACGACTTGGCCAGCTGGATCTAATAAGATTCGTCCAACCTGCGTTTATGGGCACATTGGGGTCCATGCTATCTTTACTATGGTGTATAGAAATATACCTAGTTAGTTTTAAGATTCACTTGTCACGGGCTCAGATCCCACTTATTTTTTGATTTGTTTAAAATCGTGTTACGACTTCGTGAGTCACAGTAACTGTACACATCAGTCCACTGAATTGTAAACCAGTGCTTGCAATAGTTGCTCTAAGTACAGTCAGGATGCGTTTCAGTCTCGTAATTAGCGGATGAAGGTTCGAGCCTCCAACACACTCTGCTCTGACCCACACGGGTGTATCGCTTCACAAAAATACAGAAATAATGTGAAGCATTTCTGGGCGAGGAAAGAGATCTCTGTGGCATGATAGTCGAAGCATTTGCACAGCTGTTCACGGAGAAATAACTTGAGATTAATAAATAAAAATAGGGGAAATGAAGGTTGGTGGAACTTAATTACTGCCTGAAAAATGTAGATTGTGCAAACATTAGGATGAATTTCTGGTAAAAAAATGTGCAGATTTGAGTCCGGAATTAAGGTTCATGCATACAGAAAACACTGACCATTAAAAGACATTACTGGAAACTTATTCATTGTATGGTTCGGAAAACAGTCATGCTAGAGACAATCAGAATCAGTCTATGGAAAAGTCGTCCTGCAGGAGATGTTCAGAAAAATTCAACTTAATCCCCCCCCAAGTGGTGAATCACTAGGCTATTGAAATTGACGTGTGTGGATGAGAACTCACAGTTCATATCCAGGGTGACGGTGGTTGTGAGCGGAGCTGTGAGGTTGGAGTTGGCAGCTTGACAGGTGAACCTTCGATGTAGGTCACGTCGGGTCAGCACAGGCACCACCAGTGTGTTGGACACCTGTTTCAATGTCTCCACCTCCGGAGTCATATCTAGAAGGAGCGGGCCCTCCCACCAGGTGAGTGTAGGGGGCGGCGATCCCCCCGTGGCCCGACAGGTGAGACGCAAGGTGTCCCCCTCGCTGTAGGGACCGACAATGTTGCGAGCTTCAACACCCAACTCTGTGTACACTGCAACACGTCGCGGGGGAACTGCAACACAGACATTCTGCTGACTGTTACTGCACCATTATCATGATGCAGTAACACAAACACAGTGATAACCATTACTGCAACACAATGAACAAAGTATAAACTCTTAATACAACAATGCTATTTGTAACTGTAACACACAATCACAATGCTGACTTTTAAAACAGTCTGGATATTGTGTTGCATGTAAGCACTCAGATCACAGGGTGTGGAGCAACTTTGTAAAGATGTGTAAAAAAAATACCATTAAAATCCTTGGATAACTAAGGTAAATGTAATTAATATATATTACATACAAATGGGTATATCGCTGAACGTGAATAAAATATACAAGAATTAGAATTAATAATTTGCATACTAAACTACTGTAAAATTATGTAGCTACGTATTTCTGTTTTGGCGTCTGTGTCGACATGACTGTCTATTATGGTGACTCCATGGATATTTAGTATATTGTGGCGACTCCATAAACATGTCTGTCTACTGTGATGTCTGTCTAGATGCGTCTATAAATGTATTTTATCAGCTTTATAAACTAACGTAGACGACCCAACAACTTTATCACTGTAACAACATTGTTATTTAAAACACATTGTTATCACTGTAACATCATTGTGTTATCATTGCTTCACAATATTGTGGAAAACCAATCTATTATCACTGTAACACTGTTTTCATTGTAACACAGTTATCACTGTAACATCATTGTTATCACTGTAACATCATTGTTATCACTGTAACACACTAACCTACACAACCCAACTTTTATATTAATAACCTTAAAGAAAACATCTATCGACAACGATATTTTCACTTCACTGGTGTTGAAGTTGATTAAAAAACTCTGATATTATTCCAATTTTAAAACAAGTGATTCATTTTCGCTAATTTTTATAAATTAGCAATTAACTAACGGTACATTTTAATGAAAATCTTGCAGTTCACGGCGTGTTAAAATTAACAGGAGTGTTACTTTGGAAAATAACAGTAATGTCATGACGTAGATAACGACAGGTTTGGGAGGACGTCAATCAGCGGCGGTATTTTGTGATCTTGTATTCTTAATACCGTAGGTAATTTTAATAGTACACAGGGAAAACAGTGAATAACTTGATGACTAGTGAACACGAGTATGTCTGCCATAACAGCAATGAAAGAAACTCTTGTGTAGCACGATATACACTTTTCGTATCCGAAGTACTGGAAACATCATCAGTGAAGACAAGCCCATCAACATCAGTGAAGACAAGCCCATCATCATCAGTGAAGACAAGCCCATCAACATCAGTGAAGACAAGCCCATCATCAGTGAAGACAAGCCCATCAGCATCAGTGAAGACAAGCCCATCATCATCAGTGAAGACAAGCCCATCAGCATCAGTGAAGACAAGCCCATCATCATCAGTGAAGACAAGCCCATCAACGTACAGTTCTCAGACAAACACTGTGATCAAGTCTATAATCACTGCTGCTCAGAATGGAGTGGCTTAAATTAAGTCTTCTCTCTCAACCATATCATGCTAATGAAATATAAGAATATAATATAAAATTAAATCCTGAAATGATTATCCCTGGCCAGCTGAACACTGTGGTAGGCACACTGGACTGGCCAGCTGAAAACTGTGGTAGGCACACTGGACTGGCAGCCATGAAACTGTGGTAGCCACACTGGAGACTGGCCAGCTGAAAACTGTGGTAGGCAACACTGGACTGGCCAGCTGAAAACTGTGGTAGACACACTGACTGGCCAGCTGAAAACTGTGGTAGGCACACTGGACTGGCCAGCTGAAAACTGTGGTAGGCACACTGGACTGGCCAGCTGAACACTGTGGTAGACACACTGGACTGGCCAGCTGAAAACTGTGGTAGGCACACTGGACTGGCCAGCTGAAAACTGTGGTAGGCACACTGGACTGGCCAGCTGAAAACTGTGGTAGGCACACTGGACTGGCCAGCTGAACACTGTGGTTGGCACACTGGACTGGCCAGCTGAACACTGTGGTAGGCACACTGGACTGGCCAGCTGAACACTGTGGTAGGCACACTGGACTGGCCAGCTGAACACTGTGGTAGGCACACTGGACTGGCCACTGAACACTGTGGTTGGCACACTGGACTGGCCAGCTGAAACACTGTGGTAGGCACACTGGACTGGCCAGCTGAACACTGTGGTAGGCACACTGGACTGGCCAGCTGAAACACTGTGGTAGGCACACTGGACTGGCCAGCTGAACACTGTGGTAGGCACACTGGACTGGCCAGCTGAACACTGTGGTAGGCACACTGGACTGGCCAGCTGAAAACTGTGGTAGGCACACTGGACTGGCCAGCTGAACACTGTGGTTGGCACACTGGACTGGCCAGCTGAACACTGTGGTAGGCACACTGGACTGGCCAGCTGAACACTGTGGTAGGCACACTGGACTGGCCAGCTGAACACTGGTTGGCACACTGGACTGGCCAGCTGAACACTGTGGTAGGCACACTGGACTGGCCAGCTGAACACTGGTTGGCACACTGGACTGGCCAGCTGAACACTGTGGTTGGCACACTGGACTGGCCAGATGAACACTGGTTGGCACACTGGACTGGCCAGCTGAACACTGTGGTTGGCACACTGGACTGGCCAGCTGAACACTGTGGTTGGCACACTGGACTGGCCAGCTGAACACTGTGGTTGGCACACTGGACTGGCCAGCTGAACACTGTGGTTGGCACACTGGACTGGCCAGCTGAACACTGTGGTTGGCACACTGGACTGGCCAGCTGAACACTGTGGTTGGCACACTGGAACTGGCCAGCTGAACACTGTGGTTGGCACACTGGACTGGCCAGCTGAACACTGTGGTTGGCACACTGGACTGGCCAGCTGAACACTGTGGTTGGCACAATGGACTGGCCAGCTGAACACTGTGGTTGGCACACTGGACTGACCAGCTGAACACTGTGGTAGGCACACTGGACTGGCCAGCTGAACACTGTGGTAGGCACATTGGACTGGCCAGCTGAACACTGTGGTAGGCACACTGGACTGGCCAGGTGAACACTGTGGTTGGCACACTGGACTGGCCAGCTGAACACTGTGGTAGGCACACTGGACTGGCCAGGTGAACACTGTGGTTGGCACACTGGACTGGCCAGCTGAACACAGTGGTTGGCACACTGGACTGGCCAGGTGAACACTGTGGTTTGCACACTGGACTGGCCAGGTGAACACTGTGGTTGGCACACTGGACTGGCCAGGTGAACACTGTGGTTGGCACACTGGACTGGCCAGCTGAACACTGTGGTTGGCACACTGGACTGGCCAGCTGAACACTGTGGTAGGCACACTGGACTGGCCAGCTGAACACTGTGGTTGGCACACTGGACTGGCCAGCTGAACACTGTGGTAGGCACACTGGACTGGCCAGCTGAACACTGTGGTTGGCACACTGGACTGGCCAGCTGAACACTGTGGTAGGCACACTGGACTGGCCAGCTGAACACTGTGGTTGGCACACTGGACTGGCCAGCTGAACACTGTGGAAAAATGGTATAACAACAGAATGGAAACATACACAAATACACTATAATGTGTTGATTTATTGACGACCATCACTGTCACCATCACTCTCACCATCATAGTCAACATCACTGTCACCAGCACTGTCACTCAAACCATCACTCTCACCATCATAGACACCATCATCCATGGCAGTGACTGTCCTTGACATGGATAGTCCTTGGCAGTGATGGTCCTTGGCAGTGATGGTCCTTGGCAGTGATGGTCCTTGGCAGTGATGGTCCTTGACAGTGATGGTCCTTGACAGTGATGGTCCTTGACAGTGATGGTCCTTGGCAGTGATGGTCCTTGTCAGTGATGATGCTTGTCAGTGGTGGTGCTTGTCAGTGACGGTCCTTGGCGGTGATGGTCCTTGACAGTGATGGCCCTTGACAGTGATGGCCCCTTGACAGTGATGGTCCTTGACAGTGATGGTCCTTGACAGTGATGGTCCTTGTCAGTGATGTATTAAAAACAGATATCATTTATCCTTGTGAGAACTTGTGTGTTTGTGCACTCGCCTGGTTGTGGTTGCAGTGGTCGATTCATAGCTCCTGGCCCCACGTCTTCACTGGCCTCTACTAGGGCACTCTTCCTGCTCCATGAACTTTATCATACCTCTTCTTAAAGCTTTGTATGGATCCTGCTTCCACTACATTTCCCAGATTATTCCACTTCCTGACAACGTCCCTGTGGTTCATGTGAGTCTTCGACTTCCCTTGTTGCTGTGTCCCATCTTTGGAACATCCTGCCTCTGTCCACTTTGTAGATTTTCTCTGTCTTCAAGTGTCGTCCGGTTGATATCCCTTAACCTCCTGTGTACTCACCTAGTTGTACTCACCTAGTTGAGGTTGCGGGGTTCGAGTCCGAGCTCCTGGCCCCCGCCTCTTCACTGATCGCTACTAGGTCACTCTCCCTGAACCGTGAGCTTTATCATACCTCTCCTTAAAGCTATGTATGGATCCTGCCTCCACTACATCGCTTCCCAAACTATTCCACTTGACTACTCTGTGGCTGAAGAAATACTTCCTAACATCCCTGTGATTCATCTGTGTCTTCAACTTCCAACTGTGTCCCCTTGTTACTGTGTCCAATCTCTCGAACATCCTGTCTTTGTCCACCTTGTCAATTCCTCTCAGTATTTTGTATGTCGTTATCATGTCCCCCCTATCTCTCCTGTCCTCAGTGTCGTCAGGTTGATTTCCCTTAACCTCTCCTCGTAGGACATACCTCTTAGCTCTGGGACTAGTCTTGTTGCAAACCTTTGCACTTTCTCTAGTTTCTTTACGTGCTTGGCTAGGTGTGGGTTCCAAACTGGTGCCGCATACTCCAATATGGGCCTAACGTACATGGTGTACAGGGTCCTGAACGATTCCTTATTAAGATGTCGGAATGCTGTTCTGAGGTTTGCCAGGCGCCCATATGCTGCAGCAGTTATTTGGTTGATGTGCGCTTC